CGACCCCTTATCGGACCTCGCCTATCCGATAACGCTCGTCGGCGAACCCGTCCCCTCACGATAGAAGGCGCGCAGCACGCCCTCTCGCCGCGATTCTTGCGAGCGTCTAGACCACGTTACGGTCTATCCACTTGAGCGTATGGTTGAGATGTATACGCTCCAAGAGAACCCCAATTAGCAGATACTACGACTTGTCGCGACAAAAAATAGTCGAGCATCTTCTGCACATCAGCAGCATCCCACCCCTGAGGACGAATTTAAGTGCCACATTACCACACTTATCGGTAGTTCAGGCAGGGGTTGTAGCACAGACTTAGGGAGGGACAGGAGGTTTAGTAGTCGTTTGGCTACAAGTTTACCTGTATAACCGCCCGACGCGGCTTAAGGGCCCGCTATATCATCTATAGCCCCTTAAGGGAGTACTTGTAGAGGTACCGAGGGTTAACACCTACGGCGTATTCAATATTATTTTTAGATCCGTGCTACGGATCGTACGCTTAGGGTTATTCTAAAGCGCTTAAAGCGCTAATTGAATATCGCTTTCTTCCTAAGTACGTACTATTACAGAGGTGTAAAATAAGGGACGAAACCTAGGTTGTACGGAAATGCGGGAAAGTGTTCAATTGGACCATGGGGTACGTTATCGGAAAAGGTTATAAAAATGCTAAAACAATGCATGTGAAAGTGCTGACTTGCTACATCACTTGATCATTGGATTATGAAAGCAGTCCTATTCAATGAGTGACATTCCCATCGGTGAGAGTTGGCGCTGTGTTAGCCTAGTAATCTGATTGTGGTTTGTCAAGTTGCGTTACACTCCTCCCCCTCGAAATCTAATGAGAGAAACGCGGGTCTGAGAGTGACATCGGGATTTGGCACTGGCCATGGATGAAGATCCAAGTCCTGATCTACCGATTGCCCAGGTTCTTCGTGCACCAGCTTTATATCTGTGACGATTCATTCCCGTGTGGGGACCAGTGGCTCGTTGAAATTTCTCTTCACTTCCGTCGCCCATTGGTGCAAATATGCTACCAATAGGGCTATAATCTATTTTCATCGACATGCGCATATTCAGCTCCACATAATCCTCGAGCATAATCCCCTGGTTATGGGTAAATGTAAAGGTCTTCCTGTGTGCTACCAATACTGAAGGGTCTAATAGCCAAGTCGTTGAACAAAAAGACACGACCAAAAGCGGATGAATAGCCTTGACTGATTCTCTAGTTTGATCAAACGCCACGGAATACTATGGTATCATGGGTAAGTTTTCAATTGTGTGTTTGTACCGTGCTCCACCTAGGCACGAGCCAACTCTTAGCTACCTGGCTTGTGTCAGATAGGGCACCTGGTTCCTAGGTTCAGAAATAATATGGCACTAGAGAAGACTATTGTCACTTAAAGTTCAGAAGGCGAAAGGAACCCCTCTTCTCAAAAGTAACACCAAAGTTACCGACATGTTCTAAAGCATCTATAAAAGGCAGAGCAACGGGAGTTCGCGAGAACAGAAGTGTCAGAGCCACAAGTGTCATCCGAGGCGGGCCGGCTTCCACCAGGAAGGAAGTCGTTTGTGGCGAATGAGGAGCCGGGAGGCCGTTTGTGGCGGCTAGAGAGCCGCTTGTGGCGAATGAGAGCTGTTGAAGCCGTTTGCAGCGGATAGGGAATCGCTTGGTTGCAGATAAAGAGCCGCTATCCAAGATGTTGGCCGAAGTCGGAGGAACACAGACATGCGGAAGCAAACATCCAGAATCCAACAGAGAACCTCGGCTGGCTATAAGTAAGGAGTCGAGACGGAGGAAGATAGAGAGGGGAGAGATCAAAAAAACTACGGTGGACACCCCTACCTGCCATCACCAAGTGACCACCAGTGAACACCAGGTGACCACCAGGGGGACACGCCTATTTCTCCCCTTCACTCTGTACTATCGCCTTCGGTCCAGGCCGTACCCTGACAAGAAGACAGACAGACAAGAACACACCTCATTTATATACAATCTTACGCACTGCTGACTACTCCATTGGACACACGTGATATTCGACAGCTTGAAGCGACCTTAACAGCTGTCTTAATCAGATTAAAAGAAAACGTTGTAGTAGTTTGAATTTCGGCTTTCGATTTACCACGTCGAAATGGAGGGTTCGAATTCGTTAGCGATCTGCTTCTGTAAGGTGTTTAGTCCCTATTGTAGTTGCTACATACGCGATAATTAGGACGCGTTAACAGCAAGTTGGAATCAGAGGTGGAAGTACCTTTTCGTTAGTATGAATAGGCTAGGTAAGAATCGGTAAGAATCAGTATAGCGTTACCTTGGTAGTGGTCCACTGGTACTTGTCAAGGGGGTGAAAACTTTGGCCTGATACCGTAGTACTTCGATGTGCCAAGCCGGGACGGTTCCACTAACGTTGAGACAAGGCTGTCTGCGTGAGAAAGTTTTTAGGCTGAACCGAAGGGAGCTGCCCTGACGAGAGGATCTCAGAACCACTTGGTGCAAGGAGTCTTCGATCTGCAACAGGGGGCAAGGGCTAAACGGACAAAGGCGCAGTTTTAAGGACAAAGGATTTAAATACCCTACACAATCCCTGTAAAGATCTATTTACCCTGCAATTTTTCTGCCGCTTTTCTCTCCACATTTCCGCCATGCTTTCTGACTTCATGCCTCTGGAATTAGCATACGACTACTATTCCTCAGCTCAACATGACGTCGCTACCCCTATTATCTATTCCTATTGATGGACAAGAGTTCCTTGACCTTGATACTCTATCGCTTGCCCTCGACAACTGGGCTGTAAAGGAGAAATTCTCTTATCGGGTTGAGCGGCGAGATAAGACCCGTGGCTCCTGGGTGTGTGCCTCTGCGTTAAGCGGCTGTTTATGGCGCTGCCGAGCAACCTATTCCCCCAGTCAGGATATCTGGCAGATTCATATTCTCGAAACGGAGCATAGTTGTAGCGGAGCTGCAAGGCAAAAATTCTCCTCTGCGTCTAAGAAAGACTGGTTAGTCCGTATTGTCGCTGCCAATATTGCAGTAACACAGCAGACCCCCCCCACAACAAATACTCGACCTCCTCCGTATCCAATTCGCTGAAGATATCCACTACAAGAGAGCTCAAGAGTGCCGGTTGCGACTACTCGACGGAGATATTGGCAAGCAATGACATAGCTTCCAGTTACTACCCGCTTATAAGGAGCTCTTAGAGACCATCTCTCCTGCTATCCATATCGACTTACTTCGAGACCGCCATCAACGTTTTGAACGAATCTTCATTTGCCCTGCTGAGAGCCGATCTACTTATACCCTTTGCCGACGTCTCCTCGTTATCGACGGAACCTTCTTAAAGGGTCGTTTCATCCTTACTCTATTGCTTGCCGTCACGATCGATGCGAATGGCGAGACTATTATCTTGGCCTGGGCGGTAGTCGAGTCGGAAAATAAGTCTTCTTGGACATGGTTTTTACAGCACCTTCGTTGGGCTATCCCAGAGGTCTCAACAGAGCAGAGCACAATTCTATCAGACCGAGATAAAGGACTCCTTGACTCGGAGAGGGTCCTCGGTCCGTTAGCTACAGGGGCGTGGTGCTGTCATCATATTAAGGAGAATTTCACGGGAAAGTTCGGGAGAGGGCTTGCCTCTTTATTTTGGACTATCGCCCGAGCACCAACTCTAGCCCAATACGAGGCAGCTTTAGAGAAGCTTCGACAACAAAAGCCCTAAGCTGCGGCATATCTAGAGGCGGCAAACCCTTCGCTTTGGGCCGAGGCGCTATTCTCTCGGCGTCGATATGGCCACAATACAAGTAATATCGTCGAGTCGCAAAACGGAGTATTAAAGCTTGATCGGGAACTTCCAATCATTGCTCTCCTCGACTCAATATGGCACCGGGTTATGGAGAAGAGGGCAGCTCGGCTTCAATCTGCTTTACGGTTGATAGAGGCAGGGAAGACAGCTACTCCATTCGTTGAAGGGAAATTACGAGAAGGGAGGCAATGGGCGTCTAGTAATCGTGCTCAGTTTTCGTCACCAACGGAAGCAAGAGTAGTACAGCCTGACGGCCTTATTTGCATTGTAAATTTGACCGCAGGGACATGTTCATGCCGTCGGTATCAAAGGAATGGAATCCCTTGCGGGCATGCCATTACCGTAATACTAGCAGGAGGGGACGGTATAACCCCTTATCTACCAGAATCTCTCTCTCCGACAGTTTGGGCTGCCACGTATAGTAGCCCGATGCCAGCTATCAACGTCTCTGAGCTCAAGCTCAAGCCAGAGGACCCTTGTAACCCTCTAATTACTAGAGTACCTCGAGGACGCCCTGTCAAAGAGAGGATTCGAAAGGGGGATTCTCGCCGCCCTCCACAGAGCTCACAATCGCGATGCTCTAGTTGTGGTGAGACTGGACATAATATGAGAAGGTGCCAACGCCCCCATGGATAGCTTGATAGGCCCGATCGGTGGGTCTGATGGATTGGGAAGGCGGTGGGAGGTCTGGGAAATTGCAGGGTAAATAGATCTTTACAGGGGTTGTGCAGGGTATTTAAATCTTTTGCCCCAGTTTTAATTGCAAGGACAGGCCCTTGATGGGTTTGTCGCAGAAGACTATCAAACGTGTCAGGTCACCAAAATGACCCTGAACTGACTCGAGACTCGAGTCAGGGTGCTCCACCAACTTAAATTAAGCGCGGATAAGCCTATGGCCGAGTTCCCCAGATCTAACCCAGGACATCAGACCGCGAAAAACGAATATCAGATCCTCTCTTTAGATGTTTTAGGCGAGAAAGCATAATCGACGTGACCACCTATTCGGGTAGTTTCAGTCTCATCAATGAGTATGCGATAACGTCCTCGTCCGAACCATCTTGTTAAGCTACGACCTTCACCTCTTGAGCTTACACTTGCACAACTACAAGCGGGAGTTTGAAAAATACCTGCTGGTCAAGTATCTTGTTCCCCGCAATCATTACGACTTATTGCGCACCACGGTAGCCGCTGTCGCCCTTGCAGTCATGATTTACAACTGGTCACCTGCCATCACGATCCCGACTCTGGTCGGGAGCGCCTCATCTTTCATTGCGACGGGTATGGTTATAGTGCTTTGGATACTTTCAAAAGAGAAGAGTAATCTTCGCTATTCGCTCATTATGAATCTAACGTTTGCTGGTGAGTCTCTATTGGATTATCTTTGAATGACTTACACTGACGAGATTGCCTCCAGAGTTCATCAACTCATTGAATAATTCCGTCTCGGGACTCTACGTGGCAGCGACTCAACACACCGTTCCGCCCGGAAACGCATGCCGCGCAAATGGCTGGATAGGCCAAGTGTCGGTGCAGGCTGCCGACTTTTCGATTCTTGCAATCGCCTTCGCAACGCTCTTGACTATAGACCGCAGAAGCCTCGCAGATCCGCCGACAAAAACAAAGTACATCATTTGCCTGTGCGTATGGATCATACCACTCATCACTGGAAGTGTTGCTCTTGGCATGGACAAGATGGCACCCGTGAGTGGCAACTGGTGCTGGATTAGTAGCGACCCACGCAGCCTCCGCTATCTCCTCGGTCACGGCTGGCGCTTCGCCATCTTCATGGCGACAACTGTCATCTACGTTTCCATATTTAGAAGTCTAGGAGAACATTTGCGGGCCCGGAAGCAATTCAGCTCGAAAGCCCACTACTCCTTTTACCCTGGAAGCCTCAACTCGGCCATCGAGGCTAGTCTGCGCACCACCAATAAAACCATGGTCAAGAAACCCGAGGCCGCGAAATTAGTTGCGAACGGCCAGGAACCACTCAAGGACGAAAAGCTCTGGGATATTTCAGATGAAGAGGATCAAGGTCGCAGTTCGGATGACGAGAAGGAGGACATAGAAATGCGTCCCCTACGACGTAAAGCGTCTGGCACCTCGGCCAGCAAAGACGCCCAGTCCGGTACCAGTCTGAGGCCCCGTGTACGGGTTCACCATAGCTCGAAACTGGACCAAGAGATGTGGCAGTGGTTTCTCATGGTTCTGTATCCCCTGACGTACATCCTTCTATGGATTCCCGGCATCGCGAACCGCATGGCTGAGTTGACCGGTCATAACTACGGCTGGCTCACCATATTGCAGGCCTCGACGCAGTTTACGGGGATTGTCAACGCCATGATCTACGGGTTCCGGGAACATCGTGGGACTTGGAGTACATGGATGAGGGCTCAGGTGGACCGTCACTTTGTTGACTGAATGGGACCAAGAATGAGACAACATCTGCGAGCACCAGATAGCGAGCTTCCTCTTCAGACTCAGCATCGAATCTGTCTTGTGCCGAGACTGGTGGCCAGTGCGAAGCGCAGGATCCGTTGATATCCACCACTTCAGGGCCAACGAATTTCTCAGCAAACTACGACGCAAAGGATGGTAGAGCCGTTATCCATGCCGAGATAGATTCCAGTAGCAAGTTCCCCCCTACCCCGAGAAGATACGTCAAGATAATACGATGTCCGACTTGGGTGCTCAGGGGAAGAGGCATCTTACCCATGTACTTCTCACCTTGGCACAGAATATTTGGGGTAACACTGAAGTGAGCCTTGGTGGACAATTATAACAATGACCAAAGCAGTTGCCGTGGAGGGGACTTTGGGTCGTATCTGTTTGAGAATCGTGTCAGTGATGGACTGTTCAGCGAGGGAGTCCGGAAACAATGGTTTTGCTAAAGAGGGCTGGACTCTTCTCGTCTAATGAAGCGACATACATGGATTGCATGAATCACACCATTGCTATGGTTTCTTTGTGCCTTCTGGTTCATAAGCTGGAGAGTCACTGGGTCGACTGCTTTTTGCTTGAATGAGGCCAACTGTGATACAGTTCCAAACCATCCAAGCTAAAGGTTTCAGCCTACTGATTGAGAGACCAAAAACCCGTGTTTACCAAATGCCACGATAAAATATAATCATTCAGCACCACCGAGTTTTACAAGTATGCGCCATAATATAAATGGCCAGTGCAATGAAGAGTTTACATTCTTTTGCCCGTTGGTGAGCCCTATACAACCCTGCGTTGTCTGTGATAATGTGTTTGAGCGACATGACATTGTCATGCCAGCGAAAGGAAATATGCAAGAGAATATGCCATAGGAACACGCCACGCCGGAAGCCCCCCCTCAGTTGGCCAACGACATGGATACCATCTTCAAGTAATGTCTTTTGTCCGGCCTTTGTCCGACCCCAGGCCTTAATCCTTCTCATGGTGCCTGATAAACGTTGTAGCGTTGTGCCATACCATCTGGTCTCATGCTGTCACCTTCTCCTTCCCCTTCTGATCGCCAATTCGACCCAGAAACTCTGCGAAGTTCCACTTCTTCTTGTCCAGGCTCGGGCCCAGTGGCGAAGTGGGCGCTGAACTCGAACTTGAAAACAAAGACGAGATGGAGCTCGATCCTCTCGGGGTGCCCATGACGTCAGTCGGCCGACCTACAAACACCCCCGTTAATCTCCCCGTCTGGAATGCGGATCTTGTCACACGTACGGATATTCCCGGCCCCACCAATTCCGTAACCCCTGAATTGCGTGTCCCTTTCTTCAACATCTTCTTCCATGTCACTAACAGCGTCTATACTGCGCCTCCTCCTTGACTTTCCAGTTATCCCCGTATCAAACCGCGCAATGCTGTCCCGGGGCGAGGGAATACCGGTTGAGGCATTCAGATTCGCGACGGACACGCTACGCACGAGGGCCAGTCGCCCTTGTACCCGGACTCGATGTTGCCGGCGCTTCCGGGGCAACAAACTGCTCGTGTCCGGGTTGAAGTCGGACAGCGGGATTTCCGTGTCGTCGTTTGCGCGGCGTCCATCGCGGTTCGGCAGGTAGGTGGAGAGCTCGTCGAGGAGAGGGGGAAGTGGGGGCGGCGCCCTATATGGATGGGAACGCATATTTGATTTGTGACGTTTTATCGTGGCGAAATTTCTCGTCGATGTTGTGTTTCCTGAAATTTCAGGGGGTCGGCCCAGCATTCATAAAAGCGAGCGACCACTATCCAATAAAGAAATGAGCGACTTCTTTTTTCTTCTTCTAGCAAGTTACGTGATGAGGTTGGATATCCCATCCTTCTCCCAAAAAAAGAGAAAAAGGAAGATAAAAGGGGCTATTCAGATCGTCTCCAATTGTATTCTCGTTGATGGTATCCCGATGGATGGATTAGATTGGAAGACAAGATCAGCGACTTGGCAATATTATATGGTTTTACGATGGTTTTGCTACGCCACCAACAGCTGCATGAGGACAGGGAAATGAAATTGCTGATACGATCTTCAAGGGTTGGTTGCCTTGCCAAGAAGAACCCCGGACGCCGATTACTGGGGGAGGATTCAGTTAACTCCATTTGGCATGGCTACAGCGGCTTGGCCGTTTCCCCAGCGCTTCGGAGCCAATACTCAGCGACAAATATCCATTAACGTAGTCCACGGTCCAATTGCACACTTCGGCAGATTTTCGTACGCTACCACTTTGACCTGCGGTTTTTCACCACATAACTATGGTTGGTTCTTGGAATGAAAGTGATATGATTCTAGCATTACATGCGCTTCAATCTGATCCAAAATTAAGTGTACGTCGCGCTGGTCAGATCTATAACGTACCTTTTAGAACCCTTGCGTATCGACGCGACGGTAAAACCGCTCGAGCGATTACGCGATCGCCAACGCAAAAGTCGACTCCTTCCGAAGAAGAGGCAATCGTACGACATATAACCGACCTAGATTCGCGAGCATTTCCTCCCCGATTGAGTGGTGTTGAAGATATGGCCAACCGATTACTTTGAAGTCGCGACGCGGGACGCGTCGGCGTCAACTGGGCCTCGAGCTTCGTAAGACGACAACCAGACCTCCGGACGCGTTTAAATCGAAGGATCGACTATCAGAGAGTCCTCTGCGAAGACCCCGACGCGTATCGCGCGTGGTTTGACCTGGTACGGAATACAATTGCGAAATACGCGATCCAAGAGGATGATATCTACAACTTCGACGAGACCAGTTTTGTGATGGGTCAAATCTCATCCGAAATGGTCGTGACGACTTCTGATCGGCACGGAAGGCCTAGGGCAGCCCAGCAAGGAAATCGGGAATGGGTTACAGTTATTCAAGGCTGTAACGAAACCTCTAATAGTCTAGCTGCGTAAACCACTAAAGAGTCTGTAAGGGTTTGTGCTAGTAAGTAAGTCCTGCTGCGGAGTCCTTCAGCAATAATATCGGGGTCTGACGTATGGAGTATCGGGCTCGGGGTAACTGAAGTATTCGAGTAGGGTAACTGGGAATAGAGTCGTCAAGGCAGTTTGCCTCACCAATGGGTTAGATTGATGCTTAGATTGATGACTGAAGTAGAGACTGTCTATCTATGAAATGCCTGGGAGTCCTGTCCCTTATATGCCCATCTCTCCTTCACTGATCCCCACTTGGATATGTTGGTTGTCCAACATATCCAACATATCCACCCCTGTAGATCACGTGACCTGTCGGTCCTTTCCTTCCTCCGATGTGGGGTCCCGTGATCCTAGCGTCTGTATCCACCTAGCCTGCCGACGGGCCTGTAATGTTGGTTCAGGGCCAACGGTTCGTAACAAAGGCGTTGGGTCGTCCGGTTATGCCCTCCCTCCGTACATCATTTTCGCCGGCAAAACCCACCTCTCGTCATGGTACAAAAACAGCCCATTACCGCCTGATTGGGTTATCGCAGTTACTAAAAATGGCTGGACTACGAACGAGAGAGGCGAAGATTGGATAAAACACTTCGATCATCACACCAAGTCTCGTACGAAAGGTACTCATCGCCTATTGATCCTCGACGGTCACGAAAGCCATCACTCGACCGATTTCGAGGTATATTGCAAAGCTAACAATATCGTCACGCTTTGTATGCCTCCTCATTCGTCGCATAAGCTCCAGCCTCTTGATGTAGGTTGTTTTCGCGGGTGAAAAAGAGCGTACGGAAAAGAAATCGAAGATCTCATGCGAGCACATATAAGTCATATCTCGAAAGAAGACTTTTTACCGGCGTTTTTAAACGCGTACAACGCAACTTTCACGGTTTCAAATATCCAAGGAGGTTTCTGAGGGGTAGGGATAGTTCCGTACGATGCAGATTATGTCATATCACAGCTCGATGTGAAATTACATACGCCAACACCTTCGGGTAGCTCGGCTGGTCTCCCCGTCTTTTGGGAATCAAAGACTCCGAACAACCCAACCGAAGCCCAATCACAAACCGATTATGTGAAAAATAGGATTGTACGACATCAAAATAGCTCACCAACGTCAATTTTTGCTGGAATAGATCAGATTGCGCGAGGTACAACGAAGGTTATGCATCGGCTTGTCCTTTTAGAAGGCGTGGTCGAATCACTTCGAAAGGCAAATGAGACCTTAAGTCGACGTCGCCGTGCGAAGAAAAAACAGCTACAGAGTGGAGGGTCACTTCGTATACAAGCTGGACAGGACCTACAATCTCAACGAGAGGTTGATGGGCAGTTACATGACGAATTTCGTCAAATTGGTGGTCGTACGAGGCGGCGAATTGCGCGTGTACGGCGCTGTAGAATCTGCGGCGAGCCCGGACATAATGCGCGCACTTGTGGAAATGATGTAGAGACGTCTGAAGATAACGATTCTGAGTAGTTTCAATTGATGATAGGTGTTGTGGTTGAATTAACTTATACATTGTCGTATAAGGTTGCCAAAGTGTGCAATTGGACCGTGGACTACGTTACTGCATAGGACATTCACGTTCATAGAACTTCAGGTTGAGGATGAGAGCGCAAATTCGATCAAGACAAGCCTCAGATCACAGGTGACCATATGACCTTCCACGGTGGGCTTGGCCAAACATAAGCAGGACCGCCACATTGAACAATTTTGCTATGTCTGATGGGTATTTTTATCCTGCCTGCCCAATCTCTGGCACTAAACAAGGGTATTTTGGACAGCAAAGAGATACACCTCTCTAAGCATGCAGATTGGTAGCGGATGAGACACCCCGTGTTAACCGGCTGATCAACGCATACAAGTTATGTGAAGGTCAAGTACCGGCTCACTAGGACAAGGGTATTATGTTGAGGGACACACAATAGAAGTGATGTATTGTGGTGAGGAAAGAAAGCTAGGCTAGTGTTGTTGGTCTGGAAATAAGTAGTGGTGGCTGCGCAGGTACCACCTCTGACACACCCCCCCCAGGCCAATAGAGCTAGTCATCTAAAAAGAGCTACGTACACGTACAGAATATCCGTTTTTCATCAACTTGACTTCCAATTTTATATGCGTTTCTGCCACCTGACACCGCATCAATCAGAATCACCAAGGACACGGCGTCAGACGGAGTTGACGGACGAATTTCAGATGATTCTCTTTCGTTAACGGCTTCGTGAGACCGTCTGCAATCATCTCTCCTGTTCTGGCGTATTGAATATCGAAATCTCCTCGTTGGACGCGATCTATGATCCACTTGTACCTTGTGTCAATATGTCTGGTTCTGGCTGCATTGTTTGGGTTAAGTACGATTGACTTGGCATTGAGACTGTCAGTCATGAGAAGAGTTGGAGTGTCTTGGGGAAACCCAAGTTGTTGTAGTAAGCGTAAGATCCAAACAGCGGATAAACCAGCTGGTGTGAGATTGATGAATTCAGCTTCGGTGCTTGAAATGACCACGAGGGTCTGCTTCTTGGACTTCCAATATATCGGACCACCGCAGAGGAATACAACATGAGCTCCTGTTGACGCTCGAGTAGCCAGGTCATCAGCGTGTGCCGCATCAGCCCAGACATTGAGTTTCAGATCATGAATGGGATACTTTCCGCCGAGAACAATACCGAGATTAGGCTGTCCTTTGAGATATCTCCAGAGATGTTGAAGCAAGTCCATATGAACCTTGGTTGGCTTGCTTTGCGCCTCAGAGAGTGCCTTGTTGGTGTTGGTCATATCTGGTCTGCTGCCAATACTGAGATAGTTGAGCGAGGCCGTCTGTTTGAGGTAGTTTGATTGGTCATCCAGCTGAATCTTAGGCCATACAGCTGGTATTTTGATATCTGATGGCCAGGGCACAGCAGAAGGTTTGAGGTCTAATTTGCCGAATTTGGTGAGAATCTTCATCGCATACTTCTCTTGTGAGATAAAAACCTTGTTTTCATCTTGATTTCTTGAAATCTGCATGCCGAGAAACTCTCGCACATCTCCCAGCTCCTTGAGGCGGAAATAAGCAGCGAGTTTCTGCTTAGCGATCGTAATGTCTGACTTGTGATGACCCGCAAGCAGAAGATCATCTACATAGACAAGTACCATAACTCCAGTCTTATCATTCTTGAAAAGACAGAGGTCGGCTTCGACAGGTTCATATCCAATCTCCTTCATTGCGGTAACAAGGGTATTGAACCACCAGATTGGTGCTCGCTTGAGACCGTAGAGAGCGGCTTTCAGGCGCCAAACGCGTCCACTGCCGTCATCATATCCTTCTGGTTGGCGAACATAGATGTCTGGAGTGTCCTGAGGCTTCTTAGCATTTAAGAAGGCTGTTACTACATCACAGTGCTCGGCGTGTAGACCTAGAGTGGCCATAAGAGCGAGAAACACTTTGAGAGATGTAAGGCTAGCGACTGCAGCATACATTTCTTCGACCGAAAAGCTGCTTGAGTCTTCGAAGTTCCCCATAGCTACAAGCCTCGCTCTGTTTCTCAAATGTTGATTGGTAACTGGATGGAACTTCTGGTCCGTTACCCACTTCGTCGGCAAGGCCTTCGCTCCAGGAGGGAGATCTGAAAGCTCAAAGACTTTACGAGATACCAGTTCGTTTATCTGATCGTCGAAAGCTGACTTCCAAGTCGGCCATTTCTCTTGCTTTCGAGCATCCTTGTATGACTTGGCTGAAGGGAAGTCTGATGCGGTTTTGGATT